TGAATCTTGATCAAATTCCTGTTTTTCTGCTTTAACCTAGAAAGAGAATATCTGCCTAGGTTGATAGAGCACCCTTGATTGAAGGTAGTGAATTGGCGACTTTAGTCGAGAAGCCAATTCACTATTCTGTACCGAATTCACTTCGGTAGTGGAGGTTTTGTTCATTAGGGCCTCAATCTGTTTACTCCGATGGAGGTTAGTCGCCCGCTGGAGACTCAGATTGAGAGGGTCTGGAGACCTTTAGTCGAGACTTCAGGCTGTTTAAGAACCTCCCGCAGTATAACTATCACAGAAATTGAACTTGGTAAATTGCAATCCGGCTTAACTGCAGTCTAGGGGGAACCATATCCGGGTGACCTCTCTCGACTTGAAAACAACCGTTAAACTTGCTTTGTTTGTTTGTTAATTTGGACCTGCACTAAAGTTTCACCGCTAGATAACAAGAATTCACTGAGTAGTCATCACATCTAGGACCCGGGTTGACATTAAAACCCAAACCCGCTATACTACGCTTTAGGAAGTGGTTACACTTGGCCATTTTCTAGAGTGACAGCAGGAGTGAGTCAAAGACTAGGGTTTGCCCGGTTTTGCCTTCTTCTCCGCCAACTCATATTCCAATCTTCCCACTTCTCGTCCTAGTTTTTTTAATGTAGAAAGAATTTGAAAAGGCCCATGTAGCATTATGGTTTGAGACTGCCATTAACTTCACCTAAGATTAAGAAGCATATTTCACCATGTAGCATTATGGTTTGCCCGGTTTTACCTACCTGTTTATACCTAAAAATATTGTTATCCATAGAAGTCAAAGGCGCAATCCAATTCTATTCAACGCAACTTTTCTCGACGGAAAACACTACCTAATCGCTTGATAGTAAAAAAAATGGGTATTGCTTGTAAACTTATGAATTATGATTATTATCATCTCCCGTTTCACATTAACCTTGGATATTGATCTTGTCATTAACATGCGTGCTAACCCTGTTTGAATTAATTTGTTCTCAAATGTGACTCATTGGAGCATGGAATCCTCAAGATAGAACAACTCATATTGATAAGTGTTGTTGCAATAGCGATGAAGTCGACATCGAGTCACATGTGTGCAGCAGCAAGGATTATTCGTTTACTCTGACTTGGAAGCTATTGAAAGAAGTTGATGGACCTAGTGAGTTACGTTGATGAATTGGGCAATTGGCGATTCCTTACTCTTGGTTACAAGTAGGGCTGGGCAAGCGGCAGATCCCTGCGGGTTTCGGCCAACCCACCCGCATTTGACCCTATTTCAATATTTTGGTGGATCTATGGGTGAGTGATGGGATGCGTTGGGAGCCATCCGCCGGGTGGCGGGTGTGTTGTGGGCGGGTGCGCAGGTGACCTTCTCAACCCAACAGCAAAAAGAACAAAGTCATTGACGTTGGAGAGGGGAGAGTGGAGACGTTAGATAGAAACTAGGGTTGCTTCTGGAGAGTGAACCTCAAAGCCAACCTTCCAAATCGCGATCCCCTCTTCCTTCCTTTATTCTTTTCCTCTGAGTCTTGTGCCTAGTTCACCTCTCTTTCCTCCGTTGAACTATTTTCCTTAGATCCCTGCACTTGTTAATCATCTCCATTCGTAGAAAACTCCTCCACAATAGAATTTCTACCCAATTTCAGAACAAATTCGACTTTTTTTTCCTATTTCATCTTCTTATTTCCGCCCGATAACTCTCTCCACCGATTATCATATGTCAAGTTGACTCCTTTATATTGTATACATTGTGACTTGGGTGAACCCGCAAACCCACCCACATCATCCACCATCCGCCCAACCCAACCCGAGACTGCATATGGGTGTGTGGTGAGTTAAAAATTATCAATCCGTTTAAAGCGCGGGTGGATGCGTTATATGGTTAAAATCCGCCCGACCCATCCAATGCTCACCCGTAGTTGCAGACAGTATGTATAGACATCTCGGTTTTTCTTATGAACAAGGATTTGGTTTAATGGTGATACCACTAGCTTTGATTGGAAGAAGTTGTGGGAGATTAATTCAGCAAGATATAATTGGAGAAAATCTTTACCAAAGTTGAGAAGAAGAAAATCAGGGATATTTTCGAATTTAATGAAAATAGAGAATAAAAAATGGAAATAAAAAAACAAATCATAGTTCACAATTAGTCTACCTCCTAGAAATTCTAATTGACCATATTTTAGATATTTAGAAAATAAGAAACCTCAATTATCATATTTTTCAAGCAAACATATATAATACCCACATCCCCTATTATCATAGTCAAATACGCATTCCAAACTAACTTAGAGGACTTGCCATTTGTGTGTAATTGATGCTTGTGATCATAACATTGATGATCGTACGACACGGTCATTGATTATTGATAATGATGTGCACATGTTCCTGATAACAAAATTAAAAATTAAAATTTCCCAACCGAGTTTATCAAAAGGCAGTCGCCTGCTGAAATGTGTACTTCTACAGCACTGGTTTGCCATGTCCAGAATTAATGCAAGAATGTTACAAACAAAAATTGTTGATGAATTTTTCCTTCTTCGTGAATTATTTTTCCGGGTGGGCAATCACATCAACAGCAACGTCTTTATGAGTTCCGGTGGCAAATTACTTGAAAGACCTACAACATTAAAGTGCATCTTTCCTAGCACAGAGTTGATCTCCTACCAACCCAACCTTACCTTGTTGTCACCATTCCATTCTTGTTTCAATTTGGTGGCAATATTTTTTATTGATTCACCGAAAGCATTGAACACCTTATATTAAAAAATAAATTCTGCGTATCAAACATTGTGTTAGAACGTTATATAAAATATTACATACTACACATTACAAATGCACGACATTTTGAAATACAATTTATTCTACAGTACATGCTTGTCAAAACGATACCATCTTCAAAATTACTTGTAATTGATACTCTGTGACTTGTACTGTAGATTGGCCTATCCACGTTTATGAGAAATGCATTGTAGCGACCCCCTATTCCCCCAACAAGAATTGATTTGATTTGAATGTCTACTCCATTAGTACTGCTCAATGCTCATGTTCGTGACTCTGCTGTTTATTGCACCAACTTTGGTCCACAAAGTAAGTGTTAACTCCGTTAGACTCACGTCACTGTACTATAGTGCTCACAATTTCATTTTGTGACTTGTTGCGGCTTTTACGATCATTAGTTGAATTTTGTAACACGATGTTAATGCATTCATTGAATTTTGGGCAATGTTTCCCATGCTTAATTGAGCCCACATGTGCAAGAGGTTTGCCAATTCTATGCTTAATTTAAAAGTGCACACAAGGTGTTCGATGAAATGCCAGTTTTTCATACCATCTTGGGGGAGCCGGTTGGGGCCCTTAATTATGTGCTTTGATGGTGTAATTTCTATGGATGTGAACCTTAAGTTTCCTACTTCATTGTGGATGTGCACCCCCACCCAGATTGTGCTTTTTTGCTCGAGTTATTGACCCCCGAACGATGGATGAAACCATGGTTCGACTGTTTTTTGTTATCAAGTGTGGGGGTGTGATTAACTTTTTTTTATGGCTCTTTTGGCTCCAATTTTGATTGTTCTTTTGCAGGACCATGTCGAAACCGGACCTCAAGCACCCGTTCATCCGGGATTTGAAGCGGGGCCCCCACAAGGATCGCTTCAAGCGCATCCTGGCTTCCTCCTTTGGGAAGCATCACTACTAGTCCAGGCGGGAGTTTGAGAAGCTGCATTACTACGACCACTTCCTCGCCATTGCCACTAACCGCCCATGGCACCGTCTGCTATCCATTCGAGAGAAGGTCTACCACGAGCTGGTGCTCGAGTTCTATAAAACCTTCTGGCACGAAGATACAACCGACTGGGCGGCCAGCGAAGCCGTCAAGTTCAGGCTCGGCGGGGAGCCCGCTCCATGAGCTACCACGATTTGGCGGTCGCTCTCGACCTCGGCTTGGACAATGACGAGGACTACATCACCGAGGTCAACAATCCGGAGGGTGTTAATTTCAAGGTGTTGTACACCCGCCTAGCTCATCCTGGTCAGCGCCCCTTCCATGTAAGGCAGACGAAGGCTAGCACCCTGCAGCTCGATAACCGCATTCTCCACCACATGATGGCGAAGTCCTACACTCCAGCTGGGGACAGTGCCAGCACCCTCACCAGGAGGTCCATGTACTTCATCCAGTCCATCCGCACGGCGAACCATCATCTCCACCTGGTTCTGTGGTGGCCCGGACTATGGACAAGAGTGATTTACAGCTGGGGACCCTGTACTGCACCCCCCTCATCACCCGTCTAGCCACCTACCTCCAGATTACACTGCAGGGTTGCACAGAGCAGGGGGACACTAGTGTATTCGGCGAAGAAATAATCTCGAAGATGCACCTGTTGAGAGTCGAGCGCGACATCAAGTAGATCGAGGGGTTTCCTGCTCCACCAATCCCAGCGGAGAACCAGCCCGATGTTCCTGAGGATCCACTGAGGATGTGGACGCTGCTGACGCCCCCCGTCAGAACACCTTCGAGTATGAGGGTAGCAGTTCCACTTTTCCATCCCAGGACTACTTCACTCACCAACTATTTGTACGGGGATAGCAGTATGATCCAACAAATATAAATATGTATCATGTGACGTTGTGAATGCATTCTCAGTCTCACAACTAGCTAAGAACGCCACTCCAGTTTTTGCAGTACATAAATAAGCCCCACTAAGTCTAACTATCTCCGTCCGTCCTTTCCGGCAGTCTAGATCATTGGGATTCCAACCCCATCTTCCATCGTTTAATTTCGATCGTTGGATTTCTTTATCTTCCTGCAGACCGTGAAAAATAAAAAATCTCCTCCCGACAATTTCAAAATTTTGAAAAATTCCAGATAATGAAAGCCCGAGAAATTAAACAATAAACACACAAAAACCCCCCACTCGACTTAAACCCGGATCTCCGCCATTTCCTCTCCTTTCCCCTGCTCTGAAACTGAAACCACCACATAGAAAAAACAAAAGAGAATGAAGAGCAGCGCCACCGCGAAGCTCATCGTCTTCCACCCATCCATCCACAAATCTCCACCGCCGCCGCCTCCCCCTCCCCCCTCTCCCAACCGCCACCGCCTCTTCTTCATCCTCACTTTCTTCACTCTCGCCTTCACTCTCACTCTCTTCTCCACCGCCACCATCCCTTCCTCCGTCTCCTCCACCACCGCCGCCTCCTCCGCCCTTCTCCCGGACACCATCGCCTCCGCACTCCTCCACTACGCCACCACCAACGCCACCGCCCGCCACATGACCCCCGCCGAGCTCTCCCTCGTCGCCGACGCCCTCCGCCGCTGCTCCTCCTCCTCCTCCGCTTGCAACTTCCTCGTTTTCGGCCTCTCCCACGAGGCTCTCCTCTGGAAATCCCTCAATTTCGCCGGCCGTACCGTCTTCCTCGACGAGAGCGAGTACCACGTCTCCAATTTCGAGAAGCACCACCCGGAGATGGAGGCCTATGACGTCCAGTTCGCCACCAAAGTAGACGAAATGTCCGGCCTCCTCTCCTACGCCGTCGCCCGCGCCGATTCGGACTGCCGGCCCGTCCAGAACCTCCTGTTCTCCGACTGCCGCCTCGCCATCAATGATATGCCCAACCACATCTACGACATCGATTGGGACGTCATCCTCGTCGACGGCCCCCGCGGCTTCTCCCCTGATTCCCCCGGCCGGATGTCCGCCGTCTTCACCGCCTCAGTCCTCGCCAGGACGGGCGGCGGATCCGGCAAGAAGAAGACTCACGTCTTCATTCACGAGATTAGGAGGGAGGTGGAGAAGATTTACAGCGACGAGTTTCTCTGCCGCGAGAATTTGGTGGAAACTGTGGATTCACTCGGTCACTTCCTCGTCGCCAAAATGCCCGCCGATCACTTCCAGTTCTGTCCCAATTCGAGATCTCTGCCGTCCTCTTCGTCGCCGTCAGTGACGATGGTGAATGACAGTTGATCGAATCTCATCTCAGATGCTTGTGAGAGTCGCCCTCTGATTGCAAAGTATCGTTACGATTCACGTCGCCATCTTTTTTTTTATTCTTTTTATTAATCTTTTTCGCTAAACAGGCTGCCCAATCTAATGATGGAAAAGTCAAGAAACGAATTCCATCATCTCCTTTTTCTCGGATGATTTCCGCCTTTGTTTCCATCCTTCTCTCGCTCTGTCTCGGCCTGTTTGATTTCCGGGAAAATCCGAGAAAGAACTCCTTTTTCGACAATCGCATGTAAAGCAGCTCTTAATTAGTAAATATTATAATATTATGTCATTGAATTCGTTGATAGCCACCTAATCTAGATTTCACGCTTTATTTACTGTTTTCCGGCGAGGAAAAACTTGTGTTTGAACACAATGAATGCACCTTTGACTTCTTGAACAACGATAATTACACGGTCCACTCCTCTCCGAACAATGTTCGAACGAGGGTGTTTGATGTTTTGATGGTTTTTTTGGGAACAAGCTACGTTACTCTACTCCTATGGAGGTTCAGTGAGAGCTCCGAAAAACTAAAAGGCAAGTTGCAGAGAAAAGATAAATTTTGACATAGTGTGTCAAATGATTGGTTGTGGAACCCTTTTCTCGTCTTCGTTTCTCCTATTTATAGCCACTAGGAGTAACTGCCTTGGTAACTGCTAGCCGGCTTGTTGCTCCAACCGCCTTAGGGACCCCTTTTCGTTGCCTTGATTGCCAATTGGTAACCGTTGCCTTGGTCTTCACCTCCATTGCCTTGGAGCTCCTTGACCCATCTTGTTGACTGGTTGATATCCATCGCCTTGGAGGCCCTTGTCCCGTCTTGGGGTTGGTGGGTACTTGATGGCCTCGATGCCGAGTCGGATTGGTGTTGAGCCTTGTCGCCCTGTCATAACTGGATGGGGTTGAGGCTCTTGCCTTAGCCTCCATGAACCATGATAAGGTCTTGATCTCATCCTCGATAGCCCTGACGACTCCACACTCCTGATCTTAGTAGCCACCTCGACGAACCGTCTTGATAGCTAGGCCACATTACCCACCTAGACAGGATGAGAACTTGGCCCCTTGCTACCCGCCAAGTTTCCACACTTAGTCTTAGAAAGATTGTCATGGGACCACTTGTTATCTTGGTATCAAGCTTGTCTTGTCGAACCTTGCTACCCGGACCGCCTTGCTATCATCGTCTTGTTAGCTAGGCTTTGTTACCCAAGCTTGTCTTATCAGCTTGATATCCCCTGCCATCCACAGTTGTTTGATACCTCAGCTAGCCACCCTGCCTTAGTCAAATTTCTTTTCTTGTTGGCTCGATACCCGATGTCTGGCTATCAAGCCCGTCTTGTCGGCTTGATATCCATACTTAGTCTCTTAGTTGGTACTTGGCTTGGCCCCCTGTTGCCTGGCCACCACGTCAGTCTTGTTGGCCGGCTTGATACCCCGTTGGGGTCATGGTACCTTGTCGCCTTACTTGGCTGCCAAGCCTGTCGGCTTGATACCCCCTATGGCTCCATACTTAGCCAATTCTCATATACTTTGGTACCAGGCCCTCCTTGCCGGCTGGGTACCCGGTCGTTTGGCACCCCGTTGTGCCGCCCTCTTGTCTCATATGGCCTCCTATTTGGTGCCCGGCTTAGTACCCGGCCGTTTGGCACCCCGTTGTGTCGCCTTGTTACCGGCTTGGTACCCGGCCGTTTGGCACCCCATTGTGTCGCCTTGTTTCCAAGAGTCGTTTGGCACCCCATTGTGTCGCCTTGTTTCCAAGACTTAGCTTTTTGGATGGCCTCCTGTTTGGCACCCAGCTTGGTACCCGACCGTTTGGCACCCCGTTGTGTCGCCTTGTTTCCAAGACTTAGTTTTTTGGGAGCCAAATTTAATACCAAGGGGTGAAGGCATCATCCGGATATGGGGGCCACGGAGACGGGTCGACCATCGTGTATGGAGAAGAGCTTGGCCACTTAGGCCCAAAAACTCAACCCATCAAGGTCCAGCTGGCTCTTTTAATTATTAATGTTGAGCTGGCCTTATAAATCCATTAATCCCTTTGTAATTAATCGATGTGGTACAAGCTGATTTTTTTTATGGGTAAACAAATGCCCCCCACAACTTAGTGTATAAGAATTATGCACTAAGTTGTTGAACTCAACTTGACCACCTAAAAATAATACTTATCGCGGCACCACCTTCCTTAGCCAAATTTTGGCTTTGATTACAAATCCATGCACTCATAGCCTTTTATAGAATGCTAGGCCCCGCCAGAAGGAAGTAAAACTTAACTAGCTCAATTTCCTTTCCATGTCATGGCTAGCTACTCAAGCCATGCTTTATCACGAGGGTATCATGCCATGTCTTAGGGTGTGGGAGGCTTGGCATGCCGGCCACCGTGGTGGCCGCCCAACATTGAACCCCTTGACACCTCACGTCCCAAAGAGAAGGGACATAAGGCTTGAGATACTTGCCATTGATTAATCGATCATGAAACACACCATCTAAATCTTTTAACAAGTAGGCCACATTGGGTCGGGTGGTATGGACAGTGAAAGGTCTACACCAGACACCCAGTCACTTGCTCATGCCATGTAAGTGGCATGGATCCAACCACCACATGGTTGTGGCTTACCAGTCATGACCAGGTACTCACACCATAAATCTAACTAAAACTTGTCACTTTGACCTCATATTTTTTAGCCATGATTGGCTTATGATTTTTCTTTTTTCTTCTTTTTTTACTAATATTATATTTATTTATTTATTTTAATATAAAAGAGAGTGACAAACGTCACTAATATCCATGCCCTTTCGCACCCACCAACGTGCCAAAGGTGTACAGCCACTGCCAAGTCCATGGGTTAAACCAGACCAACCATCCATACACTACTTGTCTTCCCTCCGTTAAGGGAAACAACTCATTTGGTGTTGGTTTCAAATTTTCCAACTTAACAATGGATGGCATCCTCTCAACTTGCCCTGTCTTAGTGGGCTTGCAAGGGTCCACTGCCTTGGCCACCTTACTAGACATGCTGGGTTGATGTTGAACCCGATGTGTTTGTCTCGTCCTGGGTGGTGCACTAGACATTTTCAACTCCTTCGACTCATCAAAGGGGCCAAGAGTTGTCATCTGTCTTATTTTACCCCAACTTGGCACATGCTTACTCTTCCCATATGGTTGAGAAGATGGGTGTTTGGACTTACAGAGTTGACGACCACCCTTGTGGCCAACTTGACTCTTTCTAAAACCCATATCTTCATGATTTTTACACTTAACACATAACAACCCTTGATTCTTTATAGGACCATGATTGGTTGGTGTGTGTCGAGATGTCTTATTCATGCCTTCTTGTTTGCCATTCATGTTTGGCATGCAATTAGGGGCTTTAGGCATGGACTTGCTTCCTCGTCCATCCCTTAACACCATCTCATACTTAGAATTTTTTTGAGTGGGTTGGGTGTGATGAACACTCCTATAATTTCCTCCCACTTGTTTCTCCATGGTCGGTGACATGCCCCCCTGTCCACTGGTTGGAGACATGCCCCCCATACCATTATTCATGATTGTTGACGTGCCCCCCTTGCCAGACTTAGCCATATTAGTATGCTTACTAAAAGCATGTGTGGCTTCATGTTGTGGCTTATTGGGCACACCTATCAACCTACTAGTTGTGATTGATGACATGCCCCCCATGTCATCCTTAGCTAAACTACCATGCTTACTATAAGCATGTGTGGCTTGAGCTTGTTGTTGTTTCTTGGGCACGTCTATCTGTCTATTGTTTGTGGTTGGTGACATGCCCCCTTGTCGACCATTCATGGGTGGCATGCTACAAGGAGCCTTGCCTTCATGTGCACTCTTTGACACGTCAAAGTTATGAAAATCATAGGTGGCATGGGTAGGCAACACCCACTTAGACTTGCCACTCACTCTATTCTTCATGTTTGATGACATGCCCCCCTGTCCACTGCGTGAAGATGGAGACATGTCCCCCTTGCCCCCCTTAGCCACGCTAACATTCTTATTAGCAGCACATGCGGCTTGGGATTGTAATGGCTTCTTGGACACAACTTTGAACCCATTTCTCGTGTTTGATGACATATCCCTCATGTAATCCTTAGACGATAAACATGGTATTCTTTTGGACACACCCTTTTGTTCAATTTTCTTGACATCAACGTGTCCCCCAGCCTGACACTTGACCTTCAACTTGTCAGGTGGTAGGCTACCATGCCTTCCTTGCTGTCCCCTTGATGGTTTGTATCCATCAGGCTTGCTGGAAACACATGTGGCTTGAGCTTGTTGTGGCTTGTTCCTCACAACTGTCAACCCACTGCTTGTGGTTGATGACATACCCCCCATGCCATCTCCAGACAACAAATATGGTATTTTGTTGAACACACCCATTTGTTCAATTTTCTTGACGTCAACTTGCCCCCCAGGCTGACATTTCACCTTGTTAGGTAAACTTCCATGGCCCTCTGCATGCCCCCCTGGCGGTTTGCATCCACCAGGCCGTTCGAGCATAGATGACATCGAGGTTGGGCAAGCTTGTGGTAGCACATCAGCTATTAACCCTCCACCGACTCTCACGTTCAAGCATGGTCTAGCCTCTGAGACAGTTTTATGAGTAACTGTTGGCACAGGAGGTTGCTTTACATGAGTGGTGAATGCGTTAGTAATATTCTTGTCATAATCTCCTTGTTGAAGAGGTGGTTGACTCATTGCCGGAGGCGGTAAGTTCCCTGACCGTGGCTGGGTAGTCCGGCCACCGGAGAACAGGATACTTGTATACTCAGTAGCAATACTTGGTGGCGGATCTATACCATTTTTTGGTAAAGAAATTTCTCGCACCACTGTTTCTATAAAATATTTTTTAAGCTTATCCAAGCAATTTGTATTTTCTGTAGTTGCTTCAAACAATTCATCCAAACGTCTATCTAACATAGAACTAAAAGAAGCAAGTTTTAGACTTGTCTGTTGTGAACTTCTAACAAGTCCA